AAACATCTCCATATCCGTCCAAGCGGGCTCTCCCTTCTCCCAAGGAGATGCCATCGATGGAACAGCTCAAGCACCACGCCGCCAGCACATGAGCCTATTATATTTTCCGGGATTCAGCCCACTGGCGTGCCTCATTTGGGCAATTATCTAGGAGCTTTACATCAATGGGTGAAGCTCCAGGAAAATGCAGCCGAAGGAACCAAGCTGTTTTTCTCTATTGTTGATCTACATGCATTGACAGTACCGCAAGACCCAGCTCAATTGAAGAGATGGAGGAAGGAGGCCTTTGCAACGTTGCTTGCTGTGGGCCTGGATCCTAAGCGCTCTACCATATTCTATCAGTCCGGTGTAGGTTCTGTTTTATACCTGTCGGCTACCAAAGCACAATAGAGACTTTAGAGACTTTATATTGACATCTATCAGGTGCCGGCACATACTGAGTTGATGTGGATTCTCAGCACGGTGGCTTCCATGGGGTATCTGTCACGTATGACACAGTGGAAGGTGAGCGGTCCCGTAATTTTTATAAAAGGCATTCTATTGACACCGTCCAGAGTAAACTACAACTACCAGACGATGCCACACTTGATGATTCGGCGGCACGGGCACAACTGCGACTTGGTCTTTTCTCCTATCCAGTACTACAAGCTGCTGATATCCTTGTGCACAGGTATTTTCCTCGTCTATACTGGCGCGTTCTTTACTAATGGTCAGCAGAGCTACCCATGTCCCCGTCGGAGAAGACCAAAGACAGCACCTGGAGTTTTCCAGATATACCGCGAACAGCTTCAACCACCTCTACGGGCCTATCTTCCCCATCCCAGAGGCATTGATATGTAAGATAACAACTTTCCCGTGCCAGCAGGAACAGAATGAGCAGACCAGATACTAAATTGACCAGCTCCTGCCAAACGAGTGATGTCCCTTAAGGAACCCACATCCAAGATGTCCAAATCGCACGCCGATGAGAAATCCCGGATCATTCTTACCGACTCACCGGCCGAAATCCGCAAGAAAGTCAAGGTAGCCTTGACAGACTCGGCAGCGAGCATCACCTACGACCCGATCTCTCGACCTGGCGTGTCTAATCTCATCGAGATCCTAAGTCACCTGGAAGGTGTATCGTGCGAAGCGATTGCGGCTGATTTCCACACCGCAAGTCTCCGCGCGCTCAAGGAACATGTTGCAGACCGGATTGCATACCATTTGCAGGAGATCCGGGATCGGTATATTACGATCATGGAAGATAAGACTGGGTACCTGGAGTCGGTAGCCGAAGAGGGAGCCGAAGCAGCGCGGGCCAACAGTCGGGAGACCATGCGGCAGATTCGGGATGCGATGGGTCTGTGATTGGCAAGTAGAATGGATTGTACAATATTAGATTAGTGAATGATTTGTATAGTAAGATTGTATTAGAATATAAGTATAAGAGTCAGATATGTATAGATTCTGAAGCCCAAAGTGGGCTGAGGGTGGAGTCATCCGCGTCATCAACGCGCACTACGTATGTAGCCTACGTATGCTAAGGATTTTATGTATGATTCTGTTTTGTTTTCGATCTAAGATTGAAAGTGAATTAAACGTAGATATTATATAATATTTTAGGTGTGGATTGCGCACCTATATGTTATATAGACGGGTTGTACAGTTGGGTTTATGCTTGGTGACGACAGCACTATTCCGCCTTACCCGTATTAAATTTATCAAGGCAGAGTAGAAACTATAGTCCTGCCTTAGCCGGCTGGACCGAACTCATTGGCACATCCAGAGGATATCACTCACAGCCTTCCCAATTTCCTCTTCCTTATTTACCTTTGCTTTTTTTTCCAACTTGCTCCAAGTCGCTACCCATCAATCTAATCCTCCCTATAAGATATCATCCTCTCAAACAGTTTAAGAAACCGGATATCTCGTCGATCTCTCACATTTCGGACCGAATTCGAGTGACGATCGGCGCTATCATGAAAAATGCATGGATCCTATTGGCCACTGGCCTAGTATTGCCAGTCTGGGGTATAACTCTTCATCGAAGAGATAATCCCGCAGTGGTGCAAATGGATATTCAACGAAAGGATGTTCTCGATCCCGTCGCTAGAGATCAAGCGAGGAGAAAACGTTCCGAGACAGTCAGTCAAGCATTGGACAATGAGGTACGCATATGTATATTTTTAGAAACATCACTTTACGGGACTATGATGCTAATGTTTCTGCCTAGGAAACTTTATACTTCTGCAACGTCACTCTGGGTACCCCGGAGCAGAGTTTACGTCTCGTCCTCGACACTGGAAGTAGTGATTTGTGGTGCAACACGCCAAATTCTACTCTCTGTGAATCCACCCAAGCTGCCTGCGCCCAATCGGGTACTTACAACTCGAGTGCTTCCTCCTCATATTCATTTGTGAACTCGGACTTCAATATTAGCTATGCCGATGGATCTAGCGCTATTGGAGACTATGTTTCCGACACTCTTACTATCGGAGGCACAACTATTAAAGACTTCCAATTCGGCATTGGGTTTTTGTCTGGTTCTCCAGGTGAGTGATTTGTGTTAGATATAACGCTAATTATCATAGAGCTAACATTGATGTTTGTGTATAGAGGGTGTCCTGGGTATAGGATATACTGCGAATGAAGTTCAGGTTGGTAGAAATGGAGACGCTCCTTATGCCAATCTGCCCAAGGCAATGGTGAACAAAGGAATAATCCAATCAAATGCCTACAGTCTCTGGCTGAACGACCTGGATGCGAGCACAGGCTCGATTTTGTTTGGTGGAGTCAACACTAAGAAATACCACGGCACCCTGCAGACAGTTCCCATCCAGAAAGTCCATGGACAGTATGCGGAGTTCATTATTGCACTCACTGGAGTTTCTCTCACTACTCCTAGCGGCAAAAAATCCCTTTCTTCAAGTTCCATTCCTGCGGGCGTGTTACTGGATTCGGGAAGCTCTCTTTCATACCTTCCAGACGCCCTTGTTCAGGAAATCTACAGCGATCTCGGAGTTTCTTACGAGGCGGACAGTGGCATTGGCTATGTTGAATGCAGCATAACAGAGCAGGAAATCACCCTCGGTTACACGTTCTCATCCCCGACGATCAGCGTGGGAATTGACGAGATGGTCATCGATGTTGGCGATCTGTATTTCAAGAACGGCAAGCGAGCCTGTGTTTTCGGTATTGTTCCCGCGGGAGGCAGCACGGCAGTCCTGGGAGATACGTTCCTCCGCAGTGCATACGTGGTATACGATCTCGCCAATAATGAAATCTCCCTCGCCAACACCAACTTCAACGCCACCGAAAGTGATGTCTTGGAGATCGGGACTGGCAGTGATTCCGTCCCCGGTGCGAGTGAAGTCTCGAACCCAGTGACGACCGCGCCAGTTGGTGGCGCCGCTGCTCGCATTGGAGGTCCACATGGAGGATCCACCGGCCTCGGTGGCTCGGCCTCTGCCACTGCCACAGGGAATATGGCCATTCCCAGGGCGACAGCTATGCCAAAGCATTTGGCTGTCGGCCTTGCCGGAGTTGGAGCTATGTTGGTTCTCTAAGACCTTTGGATGATCACATTTTTTTCTTATGTATATACCTTGCATCCTGTGGTGTATTTGGAGTCTGCGAAGGCTCTACCTAGATTTACTTCCGTCATACTCCCCAATTCTCTAGTTATGTGTTATGAAATGTACGGCATATGAATTATTCAATACGTGATCCAGATGTAGCAGTGTCCATGTAGGGTAGAAAGTTGCCTTCACACATGGCTGGTCAAACATGACGGGCTAGAGGACAATATAGATCAATCAACGATATAGCCCACACAGGTATTATATATATTTATCTACCAGAAAAGATATACATATGTATGTAGCATTGATAAATTCCAATTTAAACATCAACATTCGAAGACCAAAACTGGCTGCCGATAACGAGATCTCATTTGCTACATCCAGAAAGGACGAGCAGATACTAAATGACACATCGCAATACCTGAAAGCCCTTACACTTCCGATCCCCAACATGCACCGCTAATAGTCTTCACTCGTTCTCAGTTTAGCAAAGTGCCATTCGACGAGAACCAGATGGTCACACGGGTGGATGGATACCTGGAAAAATGAACTGGCACGAACGACATATTTGCAATAACTAAGGTAAAACCTCGATGTTAAGACCGGTGAAGCATCCTGAACTCTGGCAAGAAACAGCGGAGACTGTGGCTTGGCTGATGCATGAAAGCCACGGCGGCATAGAGACAGTGAGCTAAGCCTGATCATTACAATACGGATTTTGTTCTGACTGTGCAGATATCTGATCTCACATCAAAGCAAAATGAAAGAAGAATTTCCACCCTATGCAAAAATACAAGCCTAGATGTATACTTATGAGCAAACAAAATGGGTGTACGAGGGTCTCAACTGAGATGAGATTATGGAAGAGGAATGTTGTATGCGCACTACGATTTACGATTGGGTTTTAGCAGCGGACGATGTTATTTTCTCATAGCAAAATATATAACCTCTTTTCTAGATGTATATAATTTGTATCTTGGCATCAATATGTGGAATTTCTTGGCACCAAATTTCTTTGACTGACCACCCCTCGAATTCCCATAATGCCTCGAATCCCCTTTTCTGTTATCATAAAAGCTCAACGGGAAAATTATCTTCTGCCTATACTCCTCAAGGAATGTCGCACAATCGATTCTGCTCGCAATGAACTTCGCTGGCTACGTGAGCGGGCAGTTCGCGATAGCCAGTCTCTTTCGTCAACGGCGGGATGGAGGAGCCGATTGAGATCTATGTGTCAGATGCGATCTAGAGGATATCCTCTCCAATATATCCTTGGAGATCAACCATTCGGCGACTTGGAGATTCTCTGCCGAAGAGGCGTTCTGATCCCAAGGTCTGCATATCAGATTTCCAAAAAAGCGATATGTCTTGCTGACCACTTTTCACAGACCAGAAACTGAATCATATACATACCAAGCGGCCAAATTAGTCCATGAAATGTCCCTGGACCGTAAAGACGCGTCCAAGTCCCCCGGCAAGGCGAGACCTTTGCGCGTCATTGATCTCTGCACTGGCACAGGTTGCATACCACTTCTTCTGCACGCATTACTTGCTCCTCATTTCCAGAAGCTGGAAATAATAGGAGTGGATATCAGCCCCACGGCCTTAGCCCTAGCCCAGGAGAACCTCGAACATAATCTGCAACTGGGCCAATTGGCATCCAGTGCAACCACAAACATCCGCTTTCACCGCGCCGATGTCCTCGAACATGGAAATGACAATTCAGTACCGTCCATTGAATCAATACTGCAAACGCAGTTCCCAAATTTTAGAGCATTGAACACCTCACTACCCGACCAAGAAAGTGGATGTGATCTATTAATTTCCAACCCACCATACATATCCCAAACAGAGTTCCGAAACGGCACCACTGCGCGCAGTGTACGGCGTTTCGAGCCCAAGCTGGCACTTGTACCTCCATACTCGGGCAACGAGATGGAAGACTGTATGCCTGAGGATATCTTCTACCACCGAATTCTCACTCTGGCATTCAAGTTGAAGGCCAAGCTCACGGTGCTGGAGTGTGGGGATTCTAGCCAGGCTAATCGAGTGGTTGCTCTTCACAGGCGACTTGCTTTGGCGGAATCTGGAAAGTTCAGTGCGGAGGTTTGGCCGACTCGAGAGAAGGATTTGGCTGATAATGGGTTTCATGTGACTGACGGATCGCGAGCTGTTATCATACGGACTCTCCGGTAGTGTATACAAGGTGTCTATCATTCTCGAGACTAGAGTACTCGATGGAAACAAAAGCTGGTGATGCCCAATATTAATTTCAGCCTTACGGATAAATTTGAACTAGTTTGGTATTTCTTGTTTCGTAGATTCGAAAGTGTCATATATATGCATACATTTTCGGCCTTAGGTGACCACTTAAACTTGCCAACGCATAGAAGAAAAGTGTACAGAAAGACTAACCAAGTGCATTTGGACCGCCCATAGATAAAAAGAAGAAAAAGAACATTATGTACAGAATGGGGTAGATCACCAACAAAGAGTGCTGGTAGTCAGTTTTTGAGGTATTAAAACAAATAAGAGATGCACAGGGCGAATTAATGTACTTGAATTAGTGTAAAAAAATGGCACAGGGAACAGCAGGGATGCAAAAATCCAAACCCAAAACTCAGGCCAAGAAAGCGCTGACAGACAGCCCGTCTATCGGGGAGTCGTGTAATGGGCCCCGAATGGTCCCTGCAGTCTAGAACCAAGTAAGCATTGTGAAGTCATGAAGAATGTGATATAGCCGTCCACGGGTCATTTCAAAGGTTCTTCTTGTCGGAGGAGTAGCTGCGATCGTCTTCGCCCTCGACATCCTTGAGGATCGTCTCCATCTCCTTGGCCTGTCGCTTCCACTCCTTGTCTCCCATCTTTGTCTCTCTGCGGAAAAGCTCCTCGTTGGGCTTGCGGTAGCTGCCACCCAGGCGATCCCACAGAGTGGTGAACTGTCCGTAGTTGTAGTTGAAGTACAAGTGGTGCATAGTGTGGCAGGCAGCACCGTTCACAATAGGGCTGTTGGCGACATACTCGCCATCGTGAATGAAGACAGTCCAGAGGTTGATGAAGCCGAACAGGAAGACGTAGGCGAACTTCTGCAGGGGGAAGATGAAGGGGAAGACGTGGTATGGGACACTCTGGGACCAGCCATCGAGTGGGTGGAAGGCGTGAGAGGCATAAGGGCTGGGCATGATCCACTTGTGGTGAGGCTTGTGCAGGGTCTTGTAGACGCGGGGGTGGTGCAGGCCACGGTGGATCCAGTAGATGAAGAAATCGGTAAAACAGATAAAGAAGGGGATTTGGATGAGGCTGTAGTACGGGAAGGGCTCTTCGGCGGTAGTGTCGTAGAGTTTGGCGTATCCGCGGACCTCAAGAACGAAGAAAGGTGCCGTCAAGAGGGACATTGGGGGCATTGCGGACATGGCCTGTCTGATCTCCATACCAATCTGGTTCTTGAGGAATTTGGGGTGGTTGTAGGTTGTCTTGTCCCAGATAAAGATGAACGAAAGCGTTGCGACCAAGAAGTAGACGAGCAGACCAAACAGCCTAATTGAGTGTTAGTTCTGGTGTTGCAAAAAAGTGGCGATAAGAAATGAAGGGATTAGCGCATTACCAAGTAATCAGGAAAAAGCTTGTAAATTGACGGTAGATGTTGTTTCTCGGCCAAGCACTCAGGTATGCGTATTTCGAGGGTTCCAGATAGATCATCTGTGTAGCCTGTTCATAGACAAAAGGTTCCGGCCCAAAAAGGGCCATTGAAGTGTTGGCGGCCGCATTGACGAAGGCCGGCAGCGAGATGGACGAAGAGAGTGAGGCGGGGAGGACTGCCGAATAGAGGCGATCACCAATAAAGGTGTCCCATAATTCGAGAATGATATCCATGATTGAGGGCACAGATAGGGTGGGGGGAAAGAGAAGAGGAATTGAGAGGTACTTGAAGGGAACAAAAAAAAAGGAGATCCACGGCGAATAACAAAATAGTCACACCAGCGCGGAACCGCCACAGCCGTTGCGATACCACCACTTAATAAGCCAATTCATCCAGGGGCGGATGGTATGATGCGGGATATAGTTCTTTTATGAGTGGACAGTGTTATATATGAAAGTACGATATTATATATATATATATATATTTTTTTTTCTATCACTTATACCTCTATGGTCTATGTACTAAAAAAAAAGAGAGTAGAAACTTAAAAGAACACAAGATACCCCTGGTTTGCCACAGTTGAATGCCTTGATGCCTGCGCCATATTGTGGCTATCTATGGCCCTATAAGTCATGTGATGACAAAAGTACATTACAGGTTGTACCAAATTGGTACTGCACGGGCCAGTTCCACTTCCGCTTCCCGTACTCAGAGGTACCTCCACTGCCCGCACTTGCGGGTGTAGATCCAAGCATTTCTTTGTATTTCGGGTATCTTCAGCCGGAATACAAAATACAGGTTTTATCTCGACTCTTGGAACATTTGAACCTCACGATCTGGACCCATCCATGTACTCTGTACTCTGTACGCATATATAAAGTACTTTTAACCAATAGAACTTCTAGTCTCATATCTGTATGTCTAGTATTTAACTGATTGAACGTTTTCTTTCTTCAACGTTATACAAAAGTATTATATGCAAGATTAAAAAATAGTGGTACCCGCGCTTCTCGCCTATGACCTCGCTTGTCGCGTTAAACCACTGCCGCCCTTCCCCCCAAACTCAAACCTTCCCGCTTTAAAGTGTCATCTGCCAGCCTCTTCCACCCCTCTTACCGCTACACCCCCATTCTCATCCCCCAGCTTATATTGTACCGCCCACTATCGCTGTGGCTAGCTGCGCGGTGCTATCCACCAAGCATTGAAGCCTCAGTGATCAAGATCATTGAGTCCAGGTCAAAACTTTGGTTGCGATCCCATTCGCTGACCTAGAGCTGCCATCCGAACATCCGTTTTGTCCTTCTGTGCCTTGTGAAAAACAGGAAAAAAAAAAATATCCCAACATGTACAACGCTCATCGCGGGATGGTGCCCGCCCCCAACTCCCGTCTAACGGAGTTGCTGGATCAACTGCGCCAGGAGTTTGAGAGCCAGTCGCGAAACACCGGTGAATTTGAACATCAGTGTAAGTATCCCTTCCAACATCTCATTACCTCTCTCTCCTATGCTCAGGCCATTTGCGCCTCAAGAGCTCCCCCCTATCCAATCATTACATACAGCTGCCAGCTCATTTCCCCCAATGACTGCAGCTCCATGGGTTTCCGACATTCGCTGAAATGTTATCTAACTGACAGATCATGCAGTGACTGGTCAACTCCAGGAGATGGAGATGATCCGTCAGAAGGTCTATCAGCTGGAACAGGCGCAGATCAAGATCAAGCAAGAGTCCGTCCCTTACCTCCCTGAAAGCTCGAATGGTCCTCTCTGACGTCGTATTTTCTTTTTTTTTTTTTTTTAGCTACGAAGCTGAAATTCGAATGCTGCGACACGAACTCGAGTCGCGCGGCGTGCAAACTATCCCTTCCCACATCGGCGGACCCGCTGCGGCTCATACAGCTCCTTCCCAGGCTCCTCCACCTGCCTTGGGCCACGGCCCCAGCAATCTGTTTGGCGGTATCATGACCAACCCACCAGGTAGTGGCCCCGGTCTTGCCCCTTCCCTCCCCCAGGATCAGCAGCCTCCCCAGCATCCTCTTCAACAGCCTGCTTCGGTCGCTCAACCTGGCGCACCGCAACCTCAGCAGAGCTCCTTTGGAGGCTATCCGGCTGGCGCTGCTGTGAACGGTATGTCTTTGTGTTTATGAAAATAATCGCCCAGTCCGCTGACCCGTTGGATCGTTCATCTCCCAGGCTATGGACCTCCTCCGCCTCCTACTGCATCCCCAGGCCCCGGTAAGGGCCGTGGCCGCGTTCCCCCAGGCCCAGGTACCCCCCAACAAACGCACATCGCCTACCCGGATCCTCGTGCATCCCCTCAGATCCCTCGCCCGACTCCTCCGAACCCCCCTCTCGGCCGCACAGCCGAACGTCCGGGAAACATGCTGGCAAACTGGAATCCCGATGATTTGCCTCCGTCGCAGAAGCGTGAGGGTTCCGATTGGTACGCCGTGTTCAATCCCGAGGTCCAGCGTGTCCTCGATGTGGAGCTGGTGCATCACTTGAATCACGACAGCGTTGTTTGTTGTGTGCGCTTCAGCCGTGATGGCAAGTACTTGGCTACAGGCTGCAACCGCTCGGCTCAAATCTTCGACGTGACCACCGGTCAGAATGTGGCCACTCTTCAGGATGAGAATGTCGACAAGGACGGCGACTTGTACATTCGCAGTGTTTGCTTCAGTCCGGATGGAAAATACCTTGCGACTGGTGCTGAGGATAAGCAGATTCGGGTAAGCTTTTCGGATTATATGGAATCAGCAGCATATCACTGACTGAATGCGATTGGTTCTAGGTTTGGGATATCAACCAGCGCACGATCAAGCATATCTTCAGTGGACACGAGCAGGACATCTACTCTTTGGACTTTGCTGGCAATGGTCGATTCATCGCCTCTGGTAGTGGAGACAAGACCGTGCGCCTTTGGGATATTCTCGATGGCAAGCTTGTCTACACCCTTAGCATTGAGGATGGTGTCACTACCGTGGCTATGTCTCCGGATGGCCGTTACGTGGCTGCAGGTTCGTTGGACAAGAGCGTGCGCGTCTGGGACACTACAACTGGATACCTGGTGGAGCGTCTGGAGAACCCCGATGGCCACAAGGACAGTGTCTACTCGGTCGCGTTCGCGCCCAATGGCCGTGACCTTGTCAGTGGCAGTCTGGACAAGACTATCAAGCTCTGGGAGCTTACCGTTCCCCGGGGTATGCACCCTCACAGTGCCATCAAGGGCGGCAAGTGTATTCGCACATTCGAGGGTCACAAGGTAAGATCTGAGATTACTTTGAGAGACAGACAGAAGCTAACGTTCAACTACAATTTAGGACTTTGTTCTCAGTGTGTGTCTGACACCCGATGGTGCCTGGGTGATGAGTGGTTCCAAGGATCGCGGTGTTCAGTTCTGGGATCCAGTGACTGGAAATGCCCAGATGATGCTTCAGGGCCACAAGAACTCTGGTGAGTTTCATCCTTTGCATTGTCATTCCTAATTCTCTAACTTCGAATAGTCATCTCGGTTGCGCCCAGTCCTACTGGCAACCTGTTCGCGACCGGCAGTGGAGACA